CCCTTGAGCCACCAGGCCCACTGCGCAGGCTCGGCCGTTGGGCTGGCCCCGCCCCGCCCCTTGGGCGGAGCAACGGTTAGGAATCCCCCGGGGTCCTGGAGCGCCTGTCTCCTCCCCCAGGTCGGGGAAGAGTGTAAACACGCGCGCTTTGCACGGCGTCCTCCGCGGGGAGGTCGCTGCCCCGGGGATGGCTGCGCTGCGTGCCGCGCGCAGCTGGAGAGAAAGGCTCCAAGCTTACTGTCTAAAGGCCGCTTTGTCGTGAGAAGCTGCACAGACCCGGTTCCCACCTCTTAACGTTCCTAACCATTGCAACACATTCGTAATGCGCGACTGGAATTCATTTTCCAGCGAAAAACGCTCGCGCCGCTAGGAAGCCCCCGAGCGCGCATCCTAAGGACCGGACGCGGGCTCGGGCTCAGGCTAAAGGCGCGTGCAGCGCAGCCGCCCCGGGGACACCCCGCAGTGAGTGCGGGTGGCGGTGGGGGCAGCGTGTCGGGCTGGCGGGAAGGGAGAGGCTGAAAAGGAAAGGCCTGAACAGAGGAAGAGAGAGTTGCCACAACTGGCAGTACCTAGTTCCAGCTCTTGGTCCCGGGGGCTGACGGTGGCCGCCGCTTTCATGGTTCTCGGCCAGAACAAAGGGCAGCGCCGACGCGCGGCTCCCGGGGAACTTGAGCGCAGCCTCCACCTCGCGGGCCCGGCTTATGGGTGCCCGCTCCCTGCTCCAGCCCTGGGCACCTGCTGCCCTTGAGCGAGCAGAAAGGAAGGAGCACAATTAGTGGGAAACACAAGCTGGGGAGTCGAGGGATTTGGGTTCTATTCGTGTCCTCCCTTGGTGACGACATCGTTCCTGGGCTATGCACGCTTTCGGTGCCGGGGTTCCTAGGTAAAGAGGAGGTGATGTCGGCCTCTTTACAGAAATGCTTTCCGTGGCCGGGAACTCCGAAGAGCGTGTGTGCAGCAGTGAGCTCGATCGGTGCGGTTAGCAACAGCCTCCAATGACAACAGGACCAGCGCTCTACCACTCCACTCTGCCTGCAGCTTGATGAACAAGTTCAGTACACTCACAAGGAACGGCAATGAGGAACCAAAGTTACCTCTGCCTACAGGTAACTTTTAAAATGTAAGTTTCTGAATTACTAAGTGGTTTTCCAGATGCTTTCAATGTCTGGGCTTATTTTTTGTGTTGGAGATGATGCAGACCTGATGTGATCAGACATTTCACCAATTTGAGGTATAAAAGAAGGGAGTTTTCACCGAGAAAGAGCCCTTTTTATTTTTTTCTATTCTCATAGTTAGCCTATAGGCCATGCTTCAGATGGATGCAAATCCAGATTCTGAATAATATCACTGTCTGCTGATGCTAATATTTAAAGAATTACAATGAAAAAGAACCTTCAAACTGTATTTTACATAAGCAGTAAATCAGAAGTTTTGTCAGCCTTGTATGGTCCATCAAGTTACGAAAGTTTACTAAGGGAAGACTCACTTATTTTAGATTCCCTGTAGATAAAATGTTAGATAAACATTTGTTGACAACTTGATTTGGCATCTGTTGTTTTCACGCATCTGTGCTTTATATTCATTTCTCCCTTAATTCTAGTTGCCTCACTTACCAGTACAGTAATAGTGAGACAAAGTATTCTCTTTACCTAAATTGATAAGTGAAACTATATACAGACTTATATTTTACTACTACACCCTGGTATCAATTGTTGGTGACCTGCATGCTGCAATCGGTCGCAGTTGCTTTATTGAAAGTTGACATTCACATTTATTTTATAGCAGGGTACTATCCTAAGCTTTCAAAAACAAAACATCATCATGATAGACAATCTGAAGCACTGAGGTGCATATTTTCATCTTAGTGACAGACCTGACATCTTATGAATTACAAGCCAGTGTTCTTCAGGATGTTTTGCTAGCTTTCCTTTCATGTAGCACTATTTATGCCAGGATTAATTTATGATGGCATCAGAGATCTTGTTTTCCCAAGAACTTGTTCAGAACTCCTCAATACACCGTCAGGACATTCACCTTCATCTCCTTAATGCTGTTTCAGTTGTGTCACTTTGTAGTGTCTAAGACTGCAGAAGGTAAGAACTGTATAAATAAAAGTCCCTAACTCAGGTAACCACACAGGCTAGCATTTATAGAAATAATTAAAAACATAATTAAATTCTGTGTGTTTTGAGGGAATGCAGTGCTACCTACATTCAGAGAAAATGGGGAGCAGTAGGACTGAGGATAGTTACGTAAGCTTTATGGGGAGATTTAAGCTGAGCCTTGGTTAACAGGATTTAAAGAGGAGAGCACTGAAGGAGGCATCTCAAACAGGAGAGAGTAACAGCACAGGAAAGCTGTTACAGCTTCTATAGAGGACATCGATCAGCTTGAGTTGTACTGCTGACCCATGCTTTGAAGTACTGAAAAATAGAAGAAGGTAGAATTGTAAAGAACCTTGAAAAGTAAGATTTCAAACTAACAGTTAAGGAACATATGAACAAATTCTAGCATGATATATAAATGACATAATTTTGAGCGATATATTAAAAAGCAATGAGCAAATCTTAAATGGGGCGGGGGGAGTGAATTAATACTGTTAGATGTAAGAGAAAAACAATTGACTGAAAAGCCAGAGTTCCCTTCATTTTGTTTACGTAATGTATCACGTTTATTGATTTGCAGATACTATACAAGCCTTGCATCCTGGAATAAATCCCACTTGGCCATGGTATATCATCTCTTTAATGTATTGCTAGATCTGATTTGCTAATATTCTATTGAGGGATACAGGCCTGTAACTTTCTTTGTAGTTTCTTTGTCTGGTCTTGGAATTAGAATAATGCTGGCTTGTAAAAGACCTTGGAAGTCTTCCCTCCTCTTGAATTTTTGTAGTAGGTTGAGAAGGATAGGTATTAGTTCTTCTTGGAATGTTTGATAAAACTCACTTGTGAAGCCATTTGTTGCAGGACTTTTGTTTGTTTGCTGGGAGTCTTGATTTCTGCTTCCATTTCATTAGTTGTTATCAGCCTGTTCAGGTTTTCTGATTCTTCTTGATTGAGTTTTGGAAGATTGTTTGTTTCAAGGAATTTGTCCATTTCACCCAGGTTGTCCAGTTTGTTGTCATACAGTTGTTCATACTATTTTCTTACAATCCTTTGTATTTCTGTGACATCAGTTGTTACTTCTCTTTCATTTCTGATTTTATTTATATGGGTCTTCTCTCTTTGTTTCTTAGTGAGTGTGGTGGAAGGTTCATCATTGATCTTTTATATTGTTCTTTTAGTCTCTATGTCATTATTTCCACTCTGATCTTTATTAATTCCTTCCGTCTACTCACTCTGGACTTTTCCTGTTGTTCCCTTTCTAATTCTTTTAGTTGTAGGGTTAGATTGTTTATTTGAGATTTTTCTTGTTTCTTAAGGTAGGTCTCTATTGCTATGAACTTCCTTCTCAGGACTCCTTTTACTGTGTCCAATAGATTTTGGGTTCTTTTGTGCTCATTTTCATTTATTTCCAGGAAGTTTTTATTTCTTCACTGATCTCTTTGTTAACCCATTCATTGTTTAATAACATGCTAGTTAGCCTCCAGGTGTTTGAATGTTTTTTAATTTTCTAATTGTAGTTGATTCCTAGTTTTAGACCAATGTGATCAGAGAAGATGCTTGATATGATTTCAGTCTTCAGGAATTTATTAAGACTTACGTTGTGTCCTAACACATGTGGTTTATCTTCAAGAATGCTCCATGTGTGCTTGAGAAGAATGTATATTCTGCTCCTTTGGGATGAAATGTTCTGTAAATATCAATTATATTCATCTGATCCAATGTAGTGTTTAAGGTTGCTCTTCCCTGTAGATTTTTTTTGTCTGGAAGATCTCTCCATTGACATCAGTGGAGTGTTAAAATCCCCTACTGTGGCCCTAACTGGTTTGGCTCAGTGGATAGAGTGTCAGCCTGCGGACTCAAGGGTCCCAGGTTCGATTCCAGTCAAGGGCATGTACCTTGGTTGCAGGCACATCCCCAGTGGGAGGTGTGCAGGAGGCAGCTGATCGATGTTTCTCTCTCATTGATGTTTCTAACTATCCCTCTCCCTTCATCTCTGTAAAAAATCAATAAAATATATATTTTTAAAAATCCCTACTGTGATTATATTGTTGTGATCTCTCAGTGTCCATATGTCCATGAATATTTTCTTCATATATTTAGCACTCCTATGTTGGGTACATATGTATATAAGAGTCATATCCTCTTGTTGGACCAATCCCTTTAGTGTTATGTAGTGACCTTTTCTGTCTCTTGTTATGGCCTTAAGATTCTCTCTTTGTCTTTAACCTTTGGTATTTTAATTATGATGTGTCTTGGTGTGTGTGTCTTCTTGATTGGGACTCTCTGTGCTTCCTGAATTTGTGTGCCTTTTTCCTTCACTAGGTTAGGGAAGTTTTCAGCCATTATTTCTTCAAACAGGTACGCTGTGCCTTGCTTACTCTCATCTTCTTCTGGTACCCCTGTTATGTGGATGTTGCCACTTTTTAAAATATATATATTTTTATTGATTTCCGAGAGAACGGGTATTGTAGCTGAGATAACCCTCAAGCTTCTCACCTGTCATGTGTGGGTTCTGGGGCCAGTCCTTTCTGCATCTCCACCCTTCTTACCAGTATCTATGTGGCTTCTTCTGTAAATCCTTATACTTCATTTCAGCTAACTTTCAGTTGGTTATTCAAGTTGATTGCTCTATAATTTAGCTGTAAATCCAGTTTGGAACTGGAGCAGGTGAGTGTAGCTTCCACCTATTCTGCAGCCATCTTGGATTCTCCCCAAAATGATTTCTTGATAGTAGATTTAATACCTATCTGTCCCTCTGTTGAGGAAAATACCAGGCATGGATTTGTGATTCCCATCTTAAACCTACCTATTGAACAAGACACTTGTTCATATGCCACTTTCTCCATCAAGCCTTCTCTAACTCATTCTTGCAACAAGTAATATATATAGTAGAGAAAGAGCTTTGGAATTAAGCAGAACTGGGTTCAAATGTCAGCTTTTTCTGTGTGATAATTTGTCAATTACTTAAGCTTAATTTTTGTATCAATAAAATGGGGATAATGATAACTTTCCTTACAAAGTTGTCCTGATGATCAAAGGCAATGATGTCTCTAAAAGCTCTTTATTGCTTGCCAAATAACAGGCTTTTAATAAATGTTTATTTGCTTCATTCTTCTTAGTAATTATTGCTCCTTAAGAACATCCAGGCACTATGTTTCTCTTAAGACATAACACTCTATTTCATATTGTGACAATATACTTATTCTATCTACTGTACAAGACAAGCTCCTTGAGGATAGTGTTCATTGGCCATCCATCTATATATATAATAAAAGCCTAAGCGATCATTACGACTGGTTGACCAGTCTCTATGATGCACACTTTTTAGCAGATGGTGCTCACAAAATACTTGACTTACTGAAGAATATCATCAGAGATACTAGTAATATGGCCCTATCAAAATAAAAATTTAACTTTTGCTCACAAATAAATGTGGAAAATGAATAAAAGCTCACAATAAAAAATAGCTAATTGGCCTACCAGCGTGGCTTAGTGGTTGAGTGTTGACCTATGAACCAGGAGGTCATGGTTCAATTCCTGCCTGATCAGGGCATATGCCTGAATTGTGGGCTCTATCCCCAGTGTGGGGTATACAGGAGGTGATGGATCAGTGATGTTTCTATTTCTCGCTCCCTCTCCCTTCCTCTCTGAAGTCAATAAATATATATATTTTTTTAAAAAACAAAAAACTAGCTAATTAGCCCTGGCTGGTGTGGATCAGTTGGTTGGAGCATTGTCCCATTAACTGAAAGGTGGCAGGTTCAATTCCTGATCAGGGCACATAGTTGGGTG